TATATATTATTGCCAATGTAGGACACATCTGTGAACATAGGAGATGAAAATGTCAATAGAAATTTCCAAAATCCTGCATCTTGCCATGTTTCTGCTCCTGCTTCAGCATCTATTTCTAGAAGATTCACTATTCTTTTCGAGTCACAGAGCTTTGTGATAAAGTGATAAAGATATGGCCCTTTAGCCAGAAAAATAATATATCCCCCCCCCACACACACACACAGAACCCTGCTTACAACTTCTAGGGAATATAAACATCTCGGGGCAAGAACCCTTGTTATGGATTATCTACAAGAAACTTACCCCATTTTTTACAGTGATTTAATAGCTGAACTTGTGTTTGAAGTCAAACTGAACCAGTGGTAGGTCAATTACTTTTAAGAATAAAATTTTTTGCCAGAACTGATGACTGAGTCTAGGGGAAAAGCCAGACCAAGATATTTGTAATAACAGAGATTTCTTGTGGGTTGGCATAAAGGAGACTCATCAATGAAGGATTATGAGACATTTAAGGTAGATGCACATAAAATTATGAAAGAGATGAAAAGTTGTTAATGAAATGCTTTAATGAATTTTATTATTTCCATAGAACTGAAAGTGTGGGGTGTAGATGTGGTTAAAATACAGTTTTCTGAGATAGCACTCCCATCAAAGGTGAACCAAAGGTCAAACTAAGACTACCCGTATAGAATGTGGGTATTTCAAGAAAGGAAGAATTATGTGATAAAGTTGTAAAGCTGCTGGTGCTGCTAAGTCGCTTCAGTCGCGTCTGACTCTGTGCGACCCCAGAGACAGCAGCCTACCAGGCTCCCCCGTCCCTGGGATTCTCCAGGCAAGAGCACTGGAGAACAATGTGCTGCCATTTCCTTCTCCAATGTATGAAAGTGAAAAGTGAAAGTGAAGTCACTCAATCATGTCCAACTCTTCACGACCCCTTGTACTGCAGCCCACCAGGCTCCTCCGTCCATGGGATTTTCCAGGCAAGAGTGCTGGAGTGGGGTGCCATTGCCTTCTCCAAGTTGTAAAGCACACAGACAAAGAAAATAAACACAGTGCACTGGACCTTGGAAGTTCTTAAGATTACTCTTTGATGTAATTCCAGATCGAGTTTAGAGGCAGGATCTTGAAGAGGAGAACCGATCACTCAGACAGACTTCAGGAACTCTAGAAATTCCATCTAGGAATTGTCGAAAACAGAGAGCACGCTTATCTCATCCATTTAAAAGTCATTTTCTTAAATAATTACTTTTATTTGGTATGAGGTTAGACAAGACAGGGAGGATAGTGACCCCAGTTAAGTATGTTATGATTTGTATGATCAAGAAGATTATTGAGAAGAAACAATATATGTAAAGCTTTAATAATTACATGAGGCAGCATCTGAGTATTGGCTCAAAGAGCCAATAATTGCTCTATTTTTAAAATACAACAAGAGCACATACGCACTTCTGTATATAAAATAGATGACTGACAAGGACCTACCATAAAGCACTGGGGACTCTATTCAGTGCTCGTGATCGCCTAAGGGGAAAGGAATCTAAACAAAAGTGGACACATGTGTATGGATGACGGATTCACTATGCTCTACACCTCAAATGAACAGCATTGTAAATCGACTACCCTCCAATAAAAATTTTTAAAAAGTAGAGCAAGAAAAGTGAAGGAAGAAAGGGAAGGATGAAGAAGTAATTGGAGGACACTCACCTGGAGGAGCTGGGAGTTGAGTTGGCTTGGGAGCGGGGAGGACCTGGAAGACAGAACAGAATGGAGTGGAGGGTGTGTTTCCAGTTTTACCTCGCGCTCTGTCAGAACAGTTCCCTGCCCCTTGAGGGGAGGCTGAAGGGGACATTCTGGTCCCTGGCCAGTTACTGAGCAGCCCTAGGGGACCGAGGGCATCACGGCCCACCTCCCAACAGGACAACCCTAAAGGGGGATCGCCTGCCCGCCCCACCTCCCTCAAGAGGTGCTGCATTGCAAAGTCAGGGCACGCCTGACATTTCTGTAACAGGTGTGACCAATTAATTCAGCGCAAGCATGAGCCAAGAAGGCTGTTTGGTGTCATGTAGACAAAACAACAGGACGGAGGGGCCCAACCTGTCGTTTCTATCGAGCTATTATTTTGAGGACATGTAATTACGGGTCTTGTTTCTTGAGGCAGGCTTTGAGGATATCTCTTAATGAGAGGACCAGGGTCAGCTGTTCTGGGGGCAGTGGGGCTGTGCTAGGGGGAGACAACAGTTTCCTCCAAGGAAAAGGATTGCCTTCTTCAGTGGAAAGTCTCCCATGGCCATTTCCAAGGAAGGAGAAGTTAATTAGGAAAGGTCGATTTTTGCTTTTGGGGGGCTGGGGGTGATTTACAAAGCACGTGGTTGATAAGGTGTATCCCAGAGTACTCTCTGGATTTACCCAAACCATGTCAAACAGATGCATTCCATTGGTTAGTGACATTATCTCAATCCTTTCGAGTGTGAAAGTTTTTTTTTTTTTAATGTGATTTGGGGATTCTCCAGTGGCAAAAGGTCTCTGCCACCATGGATGCCAGGGCAGTTTTATGTTTGTTTGTTTTATCTTTACTTTTTGTAAACCTATTCTACCTTTTGGTAAACACAGAAAATCCTTCTTTAATTTCATTGGAAATGTATATGTGTGTAAATGCATCCAAAGAAACTAGTTATGCTCTTGAGTATGTCTTTGCAATTACTCAATGCCTGGAGATTCAGACACGCCCTTTGGTCAACTGGACTTTGCATCTTCCCATTTCCCAGTCCTGGAAGAAAGCTGGAGAGATCTTAATGGCTACAGCCTTGGAATTGATTTTTATTCTCTATTTGTTGTGCCCCTGTCTTAGCAACTCACTTTTGCACGGATCTTCCTAAGTTCAAAAATACAAATTTGACATGCAGGCTTCCCAGGTGGCACAGTGGTGAAAAATCCGCCTGCAATGCAGGAGACATGGGTTTGATCCCTGAGTCAGAAAGATCCCCTGGGAAAGGAAATGGCAACCCACTCCAGTATTCTTGCTGGGAGAATCCCATGGAGCCTGGTGAGCTACAGTCCATGGGGTCACAAAAGAGTTGGACGCGACTGAGCAACTTAGCACACATGCGCACAGCAGGAGCAAGACGGCCCAGGGTTTGAATTCTCTAGCCATCTAACTGAGGTCAGACTATTACGTTTTATGAAACTTGGTGTTTTCATCTGTAGAGTGTGGATAGCATAACTACCTTGTTAGAACTGTTTGAAAACGCAATGAGACGCATGTAAAGTGTGGACAGGATGTAGCTGATGGAGGCGGTGCCTTGCTTCCTGCAGACTGCCTGGCTGTTGAGCCGTAGCCCTTGGCTTGACCAGCATCCCTAGGCCGACGACTCCCACGCTTACCTCTTCTGGTCCAACCCCAGCCCTGAGTTCTGGGCTTGCCCACCCACTGGGCACCCTGCCATCTGAGAGGCGGCAGCATTAGGGCAGGGTCAGGATTGCCCACACTCATCCCCTCTGATGGCAGTCACTGATGCAAAGGCTCCTTGGTGTCTCAGCTTCCTCTTCTGTTCATGAACACCCGTGCTCAGTCCTGCCTGACTGCGTGACGCTACGAACTGCAGCCCGCCAGGCTCCTCTGTCCATGGAGATTCTCCGGGCAAGATTACTGGAGTGGGTTGCCACGCCCTCCTCTAAGGGATCTTACTGATCCAGGGATCGAACCCGCATCTTCTGTGGCTCCTGTGTTGACGGGCAGATTCTTTACCACTGAACCATCTGGGAAGCCATCCCTCCTTTGGTAGCTGGAATCAAAATACCTGTCTCTGGCTTAAAAAGATTAAATGAATTAGTATGTGTGAAATGCTTGAAACATGCTTAGTCCATTGTCAGTACTCAGTGCCTTTTAGATCTCGTTATCTCCATTGAATTTCTAGTCGACACCTCAGGTTTGTTTGCTTTTATTGAAGTATAGTTGATTTTGCAATGTCATGTTAGTTTCAGTGTACAGCAGAGTGATTCAGTCATATACATGTATAGTTCTCCGTTTTACATTATTTTAAGTCAAGGATTGTTATAAGATACTGAGTATAGTTCCCTGTGCTATACAGTAGGTCCTAGCTGTTTATTTTACATATAGTAGTGTTCATATGTCACCCCCAAATTCCTAACATATCCCTACCCCCACCTTTGCCCACAAGTTGTTTTTCTATCTGTATCTTGTGTACATAGAAAATGTATGGCCAAAGCATCTGAAGAAGCATCTACCTGTCTGTCTATCTACAACTGAATTGCTTTGCTGTCCACCTGAAACGAATACAACACTGTAAATCAACTAGACTTCAGTAAAAACTTAATTAATTAGCTTTAAAAAAGAAGTCAACAAGTCTGGGGAAGGTAGGACCTGATGACGAAGGGAAACAGGTGTCGGAAGAAGGGTCTGTCAGAGCTTAGTTGAAGGTCCTTGTCACCGAGAGTCTACATTTTACATCCTGGAAGCCAACAGAATGTTGTGAGCCTGAGAGTTAATCGATTATTTTTTTGAACGTTTATTTTGACAGTCACAGGACAAGGGGATTGAACAATGCATGTTTGAAAGCCAGGACTGTTGTCAGTAAATCCTGATGGAAACTGTTCAGAATAAACCCCCTTTTGATTACAGTCAACAGATTAGGGACCTAACAACATTTACAAGCCTCTTCCCTTTTACCATATGATGTCACCCATTAATGGGAGTGAGATTCCATCATCTTCACAGATCTTGGCCAAGCTCAGGGGAACCGATTGTACAGTGTGTGTCCATGAGCGGAGCAGGAATCTTGGGGCCTTCTTAGAATAGGGATGACATCCCATGTTCCTCAGGAGGGAGGCAAAACTATTGGACTCATCTGCAAAGTGGGCATTATGACACCTTAACCCATGTGAGGATTAAGTGACATGAAGCGTGCACTTGTCACAATACCTGGGAACATGGTCACGCTCACGTGACTGTTCAGTAAAACAGAACACCACCAAACCTGGAGGGTCCACACTCCTGCTGCACCAGCGCTTAATATATTTCAAGGTTACCATAGCACCTGCCTTCCATTTTCCCTCCCAGGACTGCCCAGCTGCATGGATGCCAATATGGAAGGTAAAAGATTCCCAGGCATTCCTGCGGCCCACAGATGGCATTCTGCCCTGTATTGCTGCCGGTAGAATTCAAGGATTTAAGTTTGGGGGATGGAATGAGGTACCTGGAAGTCATATTCCAAACAGTTAACAGTCAATAAGGCACAAGAAATTTCTGATAAAAACAGAGGCCACGTTGATATCAGGACCTAAAAAGATTCTTGGTGGACATTAACCTTTTGTTTGCTGAAATGTGATGAGCCACAATGTTCTGAGTGCTTATGAGCGGTTGCTGTCTACCAAAAGGTGTGGAGATGTTTGGATATTTTATCAACTGATATTCAGCATGTACAGAGTAGCTCTAGACTGGTCCTGTTTGTGATTTAAGAATACTTGTTGTTGTTCAGTTGCTAAATCATGTCTGACTTTTTGGGACCCCAAGAACTACAGCACGCCAGGCTCCCCTGTCCTTCACCACCTCCCGGAGTTTGCTCAAACTCATGTCCATTGAGTCAGTGATGCCATTCAACCTCTATCACCCCCTTCTCCTCCTGCCTTCAATCTTTCCCAGCATCAGGGTCTTTTCCAATGAGTCCCTTCGCCTCAGGTGGCCAAAGCAATGGAGCTTCAGCTTCAGCATCAGTCCTTCCAATGAATATCCAAGGTTGAAGAATATTCATCTCCCAAGAAAATTCCCAGGAGAGGGTATCTATTAAACCAAGGTCAGTAAATGCTTGAGATTAAACTATCAGCCCCAGAGGGAAAGGCCATTTTATGCAAATGAATTGATTTGACCTAGTCTTTATGATGGAGAAGGAGAGGAGATACTCTGAGATAAAAAGGAGATAAAACAGCCGCTCTCCCCTCCCCACATCTGTTCTTCGCGGGGACTGTCCCGGACATCTGTTAGCGCATCAGTAAGGCCACAGAGTCCTGGCACTGCTCTCACACACTGGAAACCGTGGGAAACTGGTTTTATTAATTAGAGTGCCTGCCCACTGGAACTATTTGCATCCATTTATAACTCCTTGACATCCCTGCAAAATAAATATTGGGGTATTCACTCATCCCAAGCAATTATCTAAACAAAGCTATATCCATCACAAGGGTTCATAAACAGGGAGAGTCGAGTATAAAAATTTCTAATTAAAGGAAGCCTACTTCTAATAGCAAATGCCCCATTCTCATTCATGTGCATTAAGCATTGACACTTCCAGGACTGGAAATGAGATGCCCGCTAGCATGATACGTTGGGGCACAGCAGCAGGCCGTCTCTCTTGGAGTGTGGGTATGACAGTGGAGCGTTCAGAGAGCTTTCTTCACGCGTTTGAAGTTCTGAGTGGCCACTCTGAGCCTTCGTCCTCCTCCGCTCGCACCAGATTTGCGGGAGAGCAAGCCCAGGGCTCAGTGTCCGTGGGACTTGGCCTCTCGTCTGCGCTCAAGGAGGCTGAGACCTGCTCACACCACATGGACACTCCGCAGATGCCAGGCCACTTTCAACATTCCGTGAGGGTCAGGCCAGGGTGAAAATCAGAAGCTACCCGTGTTTCCTGACATCAGGGGTCAAAGGGTCTTCACAGAGATTTCTGCCTCATTTCAGCTTTCAATCCTGAAGGACTAGCACTGTTCCCCATCCATTTTTTGGTCTTAAAATGTAAGACATACATACTTATATATAAAATAGATAACCAACTAGGACCTACTGTACAGCACATGGAACTCTACTCGGTATTTTGTAATAACCAATAATGGAAAAGCTATGGTTTTTCCAGTCATCATGTATGGATGTGAGAGTTGGACCATAAAGAAGGCTAAGTGCTGAAGAACTGATGCTTTCAAACTGTGGTGCTGGAGAAGACTCTTGAGAGTCCCTTGGATGGCAAGGAGATCAGACCAGTCAATCCTAAAGGAAATCAATCCAGAATATTCATTGGAAGGACTGATGCTGAAGCTGAAACTCCAATCCTATGGCCACCTGATGTGAAGAGTCAACTCACTGGAAAAGACCCTGATGCTGGGAAAGGTTGAAGGCAGGAGGAAAAGGGGTGACAGATGATGAGATGGTTGGATGGCATCACTGACTCAATGGACTTGAGTTTGAGCAAACTCTGTAAGATAATGAAGGACAGGGAATCCTGGCATGCTGCAGTCCATGAGGTTGCAAAGAGTACAACTTAGCAACCAAACAACAATAGAAAAGAATTTTAAGACGTGTCTATATCTATATCTGAATCACCTTGCTATACCCCTGAAATGAGCACAACATTGTAAATCAATTATATTTCAACAATTTTTAAAAGTAAATTAATAAGTAAATGGCAATCCATTGCCAGGTCTGCATCAGCTCCTAGGTTAAATAAATGATTCATGGAAGCCTTTCTTGCTGCATTTACCTTCTCACAGGTGCTTTTTTCTGGTACTGTAACAGAATCGTCCTGCTGACTCTTGAGTTTGCAATAGAGACTTGATGGTGGTGGTGGTTTCATCACTAGGTCGTGTCCAAGTCTTTGCGACCCCGTGGACTGTAGCCCACCAGGCTCCTCTGTCCATGGGATTTCCCAGGCAAGAGTACTAGAGTGGATAGCCATTTCCTTCTCCAGGGGATCTTCTCTACTAAGGGATTGAAACTGTGTCTCCTGCATTAGCAGGGAGATTCTTTACCAGGGACTTGGGCAGCTATTTGAATGAGTTCTTTCTTTGTTCCAATCTCTTCCCCAGCTTTTATCCCCATGGAAAGCGGCCTCTTTAGCATCATCTTCAAAAATATTCTTGATATTGTTACTGGGCGATGCAGGCAGTCCTGGAAACTGTTTAAACACTCAGCTTCTTGCCGAATGTCATCACCTCTACTTTCGTCATTCATTCATAGGGACTGATACGGGCACACAGTAAGTCTCGAGGCCCCAGGAGACACACGGTGCTGACCCAAGGCCCCGCCTTTCACCCGGAGTTAATGGTGATGGAGAAAACCGTGAGTGAACGTCCCGTTTCCTTAAGCATAGAATAAAACATCCGTGCAGAATTTTATTTTGGAGATTTCACAGGAATATACGCAGCTAAAAGCAAGTTAACTTCTGTTTCCTAGCCTGAGTTCAATGTCTTTTTTAACTTTGGGAGGAGAAATCTTTGAGAGGCATGGGACGATGACTACTTTAGAAGTTTCTGAAAATAAATATTGATAATGATGATTTAAAGAGGCAGAACCATTCTAAGGAAATTGTGTAAAGGGCTCTCAAAATAGGGTTTGACATACACGCACCAGGTGACTGTCATTACTAGTCTATTATTAGCTCCATAGCTGAAGGTTTCTTGCTTTTTGTTCCCCATCTTGGACTGTGAAATAATCCTGTCTGCCTGCCACCTGGGTGTGAAGATTAACAAAAGAATGCTTGCGAGGCATCTGGAAATTTTTTTGCATCAGATTCATTCTAAGTATTTACGTATTTTATTTGTTCAAAAGAATGTGGAATTGAAAACATCGGTTCTTGGGAATTTTTTTTTGTTTCAACAGTTACACCCTACGGTCTATTGTCAGTCAAATTAATACTAGTTAAGAAATGATTATTGAATCGTTTCTGATGCATTGCATTGTGTAGAACAGCAGTGCTGCATGTCTAAATGACAAAACAGCAATTCTCTGTTGTAAACATGAAGTATTAAGCAATTACTCTTCATTTTGAGAGCAGCTATCAAATCCTCAAGAGGCCTTTTCTATGGAAAATAGCAAATGAGCCCGTGTAAAGGTTTTTGTCAGCTTTCAGAATTTGAAACAGCATCTTCTGGAGAAATCTATGATGATTTTTTCAGGAACGTACATTTTTCAGAAAATACAACTTTTAGATTTGCAAAGATGGATTACCTCTTTGTTGAGGAGCCATTTGCAAGGCGTCCGTTGTTGGCATCACATGATTCAACGCAATGAAAGCAAAATAAAGTAATTATCATGGTGACATCTTGAATTTCAATAATCATTCTGAAGAATATGTGTAGAATCACATAATCTCATTTAGTTGTGAAACCTCTGAAATTGAGCAGGATATTGTGTTCTGAAAGACAGTGTTACTAAGAAACACTGTGAAATTCAGAAGTTGGCAGTAAGTTGAAGGTAGACCCAGGCTTCCTATCTTCTATAAAATAGTTTTCTGTTCATGAGTGCTTATAAAATATTTGGGGAAAAGTGACAAACAAGTTCCTGTGAGGTTGCTTTGACTCTTCTTCTCCCTCCTTCCTTTCATTCTTTCTCTGCCTTTCAATTCATTTCTGCAGTTATTTATTCATTCATTCATTCAACAAGCATTTATTGAGAACCTACTACATTGTTCTAGGTGCTGGAGATATAGCAGTAAATTAAAGAGAAAAAATTCCTACCATTATTGAGCTGGAATTATAATGGGTATGGATAATGAACTCTATTTCTCTTTTTATGTGTATAAATATATATAGATATAGATATAAAGATAACATGTGGGCTTCCCTGGTGGTTTAGTGGTAAAGAAACTGCCTGCCAATGCAGGAGACATAGGAGATGCAAGTTCAATCCCTGTGTTGGGGAGATCTATTCCCTGGAGGAGGAAATGGCAACCCACTCCAGTATTCTTGCCTGGGACATCCCATGAAGAGGGGAGCCTGGTGGGCTATAGTCTACACAATTGCAAAAGAGTTGGAAATGACTTAGTGACAAGCCACCAACAACAAAACAATATATATGTATGAAAAATAGCCTTATTTTCCAACCCATAAGACAGTGAGAAGCGTGACATTGTTGTATAAGATGCAAATCTCTTTATCGTCGGGTTTAATAGAAGACAGCTGAATTCTCATATCTGTTTTGCATTCCATCGACTGTGATCCATTGTTTTGGTCTAAGAACAGGGGGAAAGAATCTGGCCTCATGCAGGTATGAGGTTTAAGAAGAGAGGAGTACTATGATAGCCTTTTGAGATTATTCTGGATGTTCCTCTTTGCTACTTCCAACGAAACTCAACAAATGATCATTGTGGAATGGTCAGGTGAAACATGGAACCTGAAATCATACCTTTAAACTCACCATGGGCTGCTTCTTTGAAAGCTTTTGGATTAGTTTGGACTTTGGATTTCTGTGTGTACTGTGTTCGAAGTTGCTTCAATCGTATCCAACTCTTTGTGATCCCATGGGCTGTGGCCCACCAGGCTCCTCTGTCCACGGGCTTTCCAAGGCAAGAATACTGGAGTGGGTTGCCATTTCCTTCCCCAGGGGATGTTCCCGACCCAGGAATCAAACACGCATTTCTTATGTGTCATACATTGGCAGGTGGGCTACTGGGGCATACATTTGATATATGATATCTTATATAATTTAATAACTTATACAACTAACACATATTCATATTGATATTTAAAAAGTCATTTTTGTTAGCAATCACTGACCTAATCAGAAAACTCTTTGAGTATTGGAAAACTATTCAGTGCATAAGAGTGAACACCACTCTTATGGTGTTTAACCATCTTAAGATGTCTAAAGTTGTAATTTTTGTCTCAACTCAACATTTGGCAACAAATACTGTCAGTTGTTTTCCTTGCATTGACCTCATTTTATCCATTTTGGAGAAAATATCTGTCAGATACCCACTTCTGAGTAACCATAGTTTGCCTGTCAGTCCTTTTTTCAAGTAGAAATATCATTCCATGAAAACAAACAAACAAAAAAAACCTACTAGTTCAGCTCACAGATTGATTATTATTAGTACTTTTCCTTTAGACAGTCATCTGACTTGGACTTGCAATAAAAGTGCTTCAAGCATTCTTCCCCTTTCAACACACAGAATGATAAACAACACCTACTCAAGGATCAAGTTTTCACAAATGATTATTATTTTTACTATGTAATCAACATATTTAAATAAAATAAAGGATTTTTGGATTGCATGCTTGTACTGCTGAAAAATATATTGACTACAAATACAGTTTGGTATCCCTGTTGTTAGTGCTAAAGAATCAGTATCATCGATCTTTGTTTTTAATACCAAGAGGGCACATGTTGACACAGCACAGAAGGCATATAACATCTTAGTATTATGTAAAGTAGTTGGCCTTCCAGCCCTAAAAATCTCAGGGTTCCCCAGGATCGTGCAGTCAGATTTTGAGACCTACTACTGTAGAACAAAGTTCTCAAACTTTAGCGCACGCCAAAGTCACCTGGAGGGTTTCTTAGAAGGCAGACTGCTGGGTACCACCGCAGGACTTTCTGACTCAGTAGGTCTGTGGTGAGCTCAAGAATTTGCATGCCTAGTAAGTTCCCAGATGAGGCAACGCTGCTGGCCTGGGGACCACAGTTTGGACACGCTTCTGTAGAGGAAGGTAAATTCAGTTCTTTAGTATGCCAGTCATCTCTTACTGACAGCTAAGATTCCTATCTGTGCAGTTACAAGCATGCCATTCATTTACAGACCACCTAGCATTGTGTTTTGGATACAATGGGCCTTCTGTCAATAATTTGATAATCAAAATGCCTTGAGTAATGTCACTGTTATTGAAACAGCTTTTCAGACTGGCCTCTGGAAAGAAGATAGGATATTATAAACATAATAGGGACATCTTTTGAAGATATTGTACCGTTTCTAAGCAAGGTTATCATGAGTAAGACTGTGTGCATTTTTCAAGAGCAGCATAGCTTTTGCTTCTTGCTTCCTAAAGTGTTTCTGGAACCAGCCATGAGGAGACTTCTTGGTTATGTCTATATGATCCATCAAAATTGTGCCTTTGAGGACAGGTCATTTTATGTCCAGCTCAGCTCGTTCTCAATATCTTCCGTTTTCACTGAAATTGAATAAGCCTGTGACCTTATTCTATTCATCAAGGAAATCTCACTCAAACAAATGGCTGCTTATCCAAGTTTTAGAACTGGTCTTCAAGGTGACTGTGTCTTAATAACTTTAAGGTCACTTCAAGTTAAAGGAAAAAAATAAAAGAGTTTGATGGATGAGAAGTGGTCAGGTAGACAACCTCTCATTCCAAATATCAAAATAACTCAAAATGTCCACACTTTAATTACTTTCCTCAAACCATATATTTTAGATTCATTGAGTTTAGAAAAGGATGGTTAAACGTCATGAAAAATTGAAACTGTATTTTTATTTCTGCTGTGATGAAGTGACATTGTATTTCTCTGTACCCTGCTGTTAGCTGGTTCTTCAAAATTTATTGGCATGATATCCCAGTTGGCACCAATGTCAATCAAATTTATTATTAAATATTTATTTTCTGCTAAGGAAAAACAGCATGAAATTGAGATATACTAATAACCAAGTGCATGACTGAGTATTGAAAGAAGTAATTTTTAAGTGTCTAGTCTCCAAAGTGTCACTTTTCATTTCATTTAGAAACAATATTTCTAAATCTTTAACACATTTTTTCTCACAGATACAATTTATATCAGAATAGCCCAAATACATTTTTATTTATTGTGGTTAGGTTTTAAGACATTCATTACACACTTTTGAATTACAGAAGGATTTAAGTATAAAATTTAATAGTATGCCGTCAACGAAGGGATAAGATTCTGGTAAGAGAAGATGCTAAATCACACATTTTGGTTGCACCGTGTGAATAATTCTTTGGAAAGAATAATGTCAAGTTCTTAGGACCAATGAAGGCTTTATATATCTTAAATTATCACCACCAGCATTGACTTTCAGAAAGTCACAAAGCCGGAAAAGGTCATTCTAGCTACTCTTACCTATTTCCCAACCGAACTATTACACTTTAAATTACACTAACCCATTACACTGCCAGGTCCAATGCAAAACTCCCCAGCTGGTGACAATAATGGAATTCATTCACCTTCCATAGATTTTTGGTTTGTGTTTCCTTTCAAATAAAGCTCTGTGCTAAGTCATCCACACTCCCTCACTTCTCCTCGGTGGCATAACAGACTTTGCAAGCAGCTGGAATCCTGGTTTTGCCTCAAATGGCTTTTTATATGGAGAGGGCAAT